CTGCCCAATTGGTACCTACTTGCTCAATTCGTACCAGGATTCAACTTAAGTCTCCCATAGGATGGAGGTCTTGGGTTCGAATCCTGGGGGACGACTCAGAAAGCCGTCAGGGGATAAGTGGGCAGAAGCCCACCCCAGAGCGAACAGTACGTAAGATAACGATTCCGACGCGAGGTCGGGTCGTTACACATTCTCTCTCGCTCGCCAATCTTCTCTCGCGCGCTGCCCCCAATAACCAACAATCCACCCAAACTACTAACCATTACCCCACCTGTTAACAACCGCTACTCACACACACACACTCTCTCTGGCCAGCACTGCACAAGCAGTCTATAAGCAGCCGGAGAAGAAACAGGGAAGAGAGAGGAGCCAATAGTTTGGGCTCCTGCTTTTGTTATATAATTACATTTGGGCCTGAAGTTGATTGGTAATTTGGGCCTCAGTTTGGGTCCCTACTTTTGTTATATAGACCTCCATATTTGGGCCTCATTTTTTTGTATGTGTATCAGTATAAATTGATTGGTACTTTGGGGCCTCGGTTTTGGGCCCTATTTTTGTAATCTACTATTAGTTGTGGCTTGGTTTGGGCCCCTATTTTTGTAATTTACTTTTAGTTAAAAAAAAGTGAAAAAAAAAGTGTGAAAAAAGTGAGGAGAAAAAACGAAAACTAAAAAAAAGAAGTATTTTCTAATATTATTTGCAGTTACATGTGAGTTTTGTCCAATTAATTTGACACAACAACTTCAACGAATAAAGGAGACGGCTACTTCAACGAACAAAGGAGAGTTTTTGTTTTATTTATTGTTGCTTTATATTACTGTTTATTTTTAAAATTGTATTGATTAATTTCTTTGTGCTGCTGTTATTCTAATTTTACCTAAAGTTTACGTGATCGAATCCCTTGACTTGTAAAATTCCCATTTTACCCCACTTATTTTACATGATCGAATTTTTTTGACTAGTATTTGACCCTTGCTTTGTGATTTTACATGTATTAGTAGTATTGACTTGTCATATTTGGATTTACATAATCAAAAAAAAAAAATTGTTAAATGTTCAAATTGTTATTTTTCATTGCTTGCTCTTATTGTTCATTAATCTTTCCATTGCACATCATTTAGCTTCTAATACAATGCGTACAATTGCGTAGTGGTCGTCTTGTCACTTTTAGTTTTAGTACCTTAACTATGGACTCCTCTCAATTTGACGCACTCACCAATCAAATAGCAGCTATTCAAATCCAAATGACTGCTACTCTTGAAGAGAGTAGGAGCTTAGCTGCTAGTCTGAACATTTAAAAAAAAATCCATCATTCGACTGATATTGATAATTCTAAAGTGTCCCATAACAGACACTATCATCGTCGATGGGTGATCAAAAATATTTTCAAGACGATCGTAGGGATAGAGATCAAGTTCGTAAGCGAGAACGAGAATGGGATAGAGAGCGTTACTTTAGAAACATTAAAGTAGATGTTTCTACATTTGATGGTTAAATAGATTTTGAAGCTTTTACTCTATGGACTGCCCTTAAATAAGATAATCTGTTAGTGACTGAGTATATTGCTCAATTTAAGGAATTTCGAATGAAATGTCATGTCATTGAGGATGAGACCCCGATTTTGAATAGGTTTAGACAAGGTCTAAGAGATGTTCTTAAGCGTTAACTTTTCCTTTAGGGTGTCACTACTCTTGATCACACCTACTCTTTAGCCCAAGATTATGAGGTGATTATTGATACTTCATATGAAAAGCATGGTGACAACTATACACCTATCTCATTAGTGCCGCTTCCTTTTAAGTCTATTAGGAGACCTTTCCCGTCAAATGTTCCTCACGTGTTCGAAAATATGGGTACAATTTATGAAATTCCAAGGACTTTTTCTCACTTGCAGTGCTTCAACTGTTAGGACTTTGACCACATCTCTTTCAAATGTCCTAGCGAGCTTTAGTCATTGAAGAACGAAAGCATATAATAGATGAGCAGTTAGAAGATCAAGTCTATAAACCTAAACTCGAAAAATTTGATGACTAGGATGATAGTGAGAAGACCTCCTTAGGTAGTATTCAGACTTTTCCTATGAATCTACGTATTGTACCCCTTGTTCCCAATATCTCTCAGTCAAGTGTTGTATGTCGTACCATTATCCAACCCAAAGGTGCTATTGATTTGTGTAATCATGTCATTTTCAAGGAAAATCTTGGGAATTGGGATTTGACTGTCCCAACAGTTCAAATTATATATAAAAATTCTGCGAATCGATCTATAAATATGAGTCACTTTGAAGTTATTCATGGCTATGAGCCTATGAAGCCTTTAGACCTTATTCACATGTCCCCACATGCTAGTGTGTCGATGTCAGCTAAAGCATTTATACATCATCTTCATGATTTGCATATTGAGATCAATAAACGACTTGAAGCAAATAATGCATAATATAAACTTCAAGATCATTTGCTTAAAAGACATTTTGAATTTAATATTGAGAATTATGTTATATTGCAAGCCCGTAGTGCAAGTCCTTCTAAAATTTTAAAGCATGTTTGTCCAAATGCACATGTCATTGATCTTTTTATCACATTTTGGCTACCACTCTATTTTAAATATTGAGGACTTCATTACTTATAAACACCGTTTCAATTCATTTGACGATCCTTTTCTATTTAGCTCTAGGGACACCCAACTTGTCTATGTTGATATTTCTACTTCAATACCATCGTCACAACACAGATACAATTGATATTATTTTAGATGAACAAATTGTGTTGACCAATGATGGAGAGATTTGATGCTTCCTTGCTCGTTGGATAGTTCCACCTGATGCAGACCGTACATGAAGTCCTACAGAGAAGCTCCAACAAATTTGGATCAAATTGCTGGAGTTTCCCCCATGGTAGAAGTTTATCCACTCGACAGGATCGAGTTTTCCCCCTCCTCGAAAGAGTTGATGAGGACATCCCGTCCTATTTTGTTATGTTATTTGGACTATTTCTATTTTTGCTTTTAGTAATTATTGGGTTTGTATTATGGGCCAGCCCAAGCCCCTTTTACTCTTTAAGGTTGTTTTTTGTTATTTATAGTACTTGTGTTGAACATTGAGAGGGAGTTGAAGAATTGATAAAATTCTCTTTCCCCCCTTCTCCTTCTCAGTTCTTCTTCTCTTATTCTTCTGTTGTTCCCGTTTCTTCTTCTTCTTTGTTTTTTTTCTTCTAGTTCCTCTATTGAAATTAATTTCCCATTGATCCTACATCAAGAATGCCTCAAAGTGACAATTGTCTTATGGCAATTAATGATTAACGAATTTCTCTATTACAAGTACAAGAACCTTAACTGTTTCGCCCCAATTCTCAAAGTATTGAAATCGATCTTCCAATTAAGCCTATGTTTGACCCCAATTTTTTCAAAACTCGTTTTCAATCACACAATCTCATATAAAATAATTTTAAATGTAAACCAAAAACTTTTCCTTATTTTTTAATCATATTCTTCAAAAAATTATTATTCCAAAACATATTTTTTACAAAAATCAAGTTCGAACAGAGTCTAAGACTTTACTCATTGGTACATCAAAGAAATTGAACTAACAATAAAATATATATTACTTGCTCAGGATTTAGGTGACTCATTCAACGATCGAGTAGAATCTCATTTTTAGCAACCACAACTCAGTCATCTACACGATCTTAGTCAATGTGCACCAAACACATCATTGTTCTTATTTCCAAGAACTGGACAAATCTCAATAGGATCAATACAATTTTATCAACATAAAACATTCAACTTTATGTGCCGATTGCGAACAATATCGTTTTGATAACGTCACAAATTCTCACTATACTCGAACGATCAAGTATACGACTTTTGACATCTTGTACGATCATGAAACTTAAGATTATTATTGCGAATAGTCAAATCATAACACAATGTCGACTACAAAATACTAATCAAAAGGCGTCGAACTAACAGAAAGTTGTATCATCCTATTCAACCAAGATCACAACTTTTCAAGTTTTTAAAAGAGCAAAATAACAAATATTTGGTGACAATCCCATAAGATCTAGGAGTAAAAATCAAGGTTCACAGTGGCAAAAGCAATACAGGGCAGGGAATGAACTCAGCCAGTAAGTTTGCATCCACATGCTTCGAATGAATGGCTTCCATACTCATAACAACCAAATCTAAACTCATATCATCAGCAACCTCTCCAATAATAGCTGTTGGTTTCTTTCCTCCTTCCCCAAGTCTCTCTAAAACTTTGAAATCTTGGTAACCACCTACCACATTATCGATGCATTTTGGTGAGTTGAGATAAAATAATTAATTTAATCAGTTTATTCATGATCACAATGCAATTTCATGATACTTTTCTATGCTTTACTGGCTTAATGCTATGTCCTGTTGAAATATGTGAAGCCTCATTACACTTATCCCCTTGACCGCAAATCTACCTAGTAACGGTATATTGCTACTTTATAGATAAAAAACATGATTGTGGAAAGAAGTGTTTCATCTTCATTATGGTGAAAAATTTGTAATGGCAAGGTGAGATAACTTTCATATTGAGCGTAAAGAACTATTTATGTCATTTGCGTGAGTGTTTTTGTTTTTTCATTTTTTCGCCTTGTTGAGATTGAGAATATGGCTTAATCCTAACACGTAGCTTGTACCTCGTTATATATCAAGTAAACAAATGTTTTCACAAACTAACCTTCAGATAAATGCCACCGGATGCTAGCTAGTTGAGTATCATGCTCTGGTAATGATTCCTTTTCCTTTTCATTGATAACTGTAAAGAACATAAGAATCTATATTAATGGATGTTTTATGTTAAAAAAGTCTAATATGGTTATCATCAATGCTTAGTTTTTGACAGTACATTGCATATAACAACTATGACAGAGATTAAAAAGAATACCCAAAACTGTTATGTCAGCCTCATATTTCTTCGCCAAAGCAGCAGTAGTTGCCATGGCCTATCAAACAATTATTAATAAGATTAAATAAGTACAGCATAAAGGAAGGATTTATAAATTAAGTTTGCATATAGCTGATAGGAAGGCAATGGTTTCTGGTCTGTAGCATATAGTTCTAGTTTAAATAACAATTACTCTTTCATCTAGACTTAGATCCAATGAAATCTATTTATAATGTAGAGTACCACTGAAACAAAGTTCTTGATTTTAGAAGTGAGGTTAATTCAACATCAACGTCAGTCTTGGAAAGAACAGAATCACTTTCCCACGCTATATGCCATGCTTCAGAGAAAACATCACTGGCATTTACTATTTCTCTTGGTAAGACTTGAAGTGGCAAGTAATGCTGTTACTGTTCCAATTTTTTGGTCAAATTCATAGGTTAGCTTAACAGTCCCTTACCAACTGACAAAGCAATAACATGAAGCCATGAACCCATCACACTTGACACTCAGCAAAGGCTATTGTACATCAGCAAGAAAACCAGAAACATACCCAAGAGGGCATTGGAACTGACAATATGAGCAAGATTTAATGTTAACAGAAGAAAGAAATTCTATTTCATAGTATCTGATTAAGAAAGACATTGTGCTCGCACAATACTCAAGACTTAAATTGCCCACATAATAGGTGCACATGATCAAGGAAACAAAAATGTAAAAGGAGAAGAGAAAACCTGCTTTGTACCCTCTGAGAGGTAAGCGTTGCCATCTGTAACTGGCAGAAGCAGATGCTTGAACTGAGTAAAGGCATCTGCAGCGGGGCTGAGTTCAGCTTCTCCTGGCTTAGACTTCACTAAAAGAATTAACAAACATTTAGCACCCAATCATTGATACATTTGAATAGAAACTAGCTACTATGGCAGTAAAATATAGATGTAACATAAGATCATAATGATTTAGTTACTGAAGAAAACTCGTAAAGATCGCATAATGCTGCTATAAAATCTGTTTGCTTCCAGCCTTAGAACCCTTCACAAGAAACATTGAGTTCTATATTCATGGTAGAATTAGGGGAAGCAATGGAGATGACTTAGCTGATGCCTGCTTCACCCTGACCTAAACAGATGGATATCATGCCAAGCAATGGGGGTATTGAGGAGAGATGCTGAAAAATCCTATTCACCTAGTCCAGGAAGGTGCAAACAGCAAAGGTATCCCACCACTGCCCTTAATAACTGTAACACCCCAACTTTCATAAACCCTAGAGAATTACTAAAATAATTCGATTTTCTTCACGTCTAATGCGGAGACGATAAAAATTTATCTTTATTTAAAAAAATAAATAGTATCCATAATCCTAAAACTTGAAAGTATCTCGTTGAAAGGAACATAATCAACTAACTATTAAGGGCCTATTTAAGCCCCATTTTTCTATTAAAATGCATTTTGGAATAGTATTTTGATAGAAAATGTGTGGTTAAATAAGAAAAATTTTGGGTTTTCATGTAATATTATTTTATTAAAAAATGTATAGTTGAAAATAAGAGAGAAAATATAGTTTGGAAATAATGGAGACGAAACAAGGGCTAAATAAACATGTCATTGAACACAATTAAAACTATATAATAAATTGGAAAATAGAAAAACTTAATGCTTATATTTTTTTCAAATCCTCTTGATATCCCGCATCACTATCCTGCTACAGTTTCAATCGACCAGAACCGACCTATAAATTATTATAAGAGTGAGTATTTAAAAATACCCGGTAAGATGCATACAATTTTCATACACAATTATATAAAACAATAAAATAGATACATGATACCACATTTCATTTGGAGTATTTCGGTGATCAAGCGAGACTTATCACGTAGTCATTTCGAATTTTCGAAAGATTTTACATTTCGTTATAAAGAACTCAAAAGAGTTCACATTTCGTTGGGTTAAACCCAAAGATCCACTCGCAATTTATGTATATTTAATTGAATAAATAAAACCATAAGGAAATAAGACACTTGCACGTTAAGTATCTTACCTTTTTATTGAAAGGTTGAAAATAAAATAAATTCTTGTGCTCGAAAATCCCTTTTATTCTATACTTTTTCTCTCTTTTTGCCTCCATGTCTCTCTAACGTGTGTGTATATATATTTTCTTATTGCAAGGGCTAAAGGAGGTAAAGGTTTTACTTGAATAATATTTCAAATTCCTACAAACTCTATTTAACCTTATATTCTTTTAATCGAATTTAACTTAATGTGGTCTTATCCAAATCAACTTTCACTTAGATCGAAGACTCCTAATTAATTACAAGCTACAAAATGAGCCCGATATTGATACATTATCATTCTATCAATAATTAATTATTTGGCTCAAATAATATTGGATTGAATACTAATATTACTTTAGTTCCTCAACTTTTCAAAAATTCTTAAAAGGCATCTAAGTCAAAACTCTTCTTACCTACTAATTTAGGTCGGTATCCAAAAGTTTGAGGCGTTGCAATCTCTCAATGACTTTTGTCCTAGAAATTACCTTAGCTAATTGAAGAGTTTTGGATACCGACCTTAACATCGTTTTTGGTGGAGTCTCATCATCTAGTAATACATGACTCGGGGCTCAGAATCCGTAATCAAATCAATGAAGACCTGTGGCTCGAGCTTATGCTCGAGATCCTCCACAAGCTATGATTCGAGCTGTTTGTCTGGGTCTAATTCAGGCTCAGGCTCTTGCTGTTTGTGGTTCCATAAGGCTATGACATCCTCATAGTATCTCCTGGAATCAATCCTATCACAATCTTCAGGCAAATATAGCTCATAATCTTCATCTCTCACTGAGTAAGCCACTCTTCTCTCTATTGAGTCTACATGGTGCTTATAAAATGGTATATCAAGAGGGTTGTCCCTTTTTATATCCATTTAATTGTTGAAGAGCCTACTTGGAAGAAAATAAGATGTCAAGGTTATGTGCCCAAAACTCTTCAACTAGTTGAGTAATTTCGCAAGCGACATTTATTTTAAGGAGAAGAGATTGTAATGCCCCAAAATTTTATAGAATAAAATTGTTTGGTGATAACGATTTCGACATAGATGCCTTTTAATAATTTTGAAAAGTTGAGGAACTAAAGTGAAATAAGTATGAAATTCAATATTATTTTGAGTCACATAATTAGTTATTGATGGAGTGATAATTAATATGTCAATGTTGAGCTCATTTTGTAGCTTACAATGAATTAAAAGGCTTCCATCCAAGAGAGTTAATTTGGATAAGATCAAACAAGTTAGATCTAATTAAAGGAAAACAAAGTTAAATATAATTATGAGGAATTGAGGATATTGATTACCTAATTTCATCATTTTTCTAGAGCAGATTATGTGTGGAATGTTTGGGTTTATTAGAAACCATTAATTTACTATAATCCTAATTCCATTAAGTAAAATACATTCCTTCTTAGCCTTCCAAGTGTGATGTTTGAATAGGAATCCATGAGTATAGAAAAGAAAATCTACTTTTTGAAACCTAAAGGGCAGAAAAAGAGAAAGTATAGAAAGAAAAGAGGATTTTCACGCATAAGAATTTATTCTTTTTCAACCTTTCAATAATGAAGTAAGATACTTAAGTTTATTCACTTAATACTTTTATGTATTCAATGAAATATGCATGAATTGCTAGTGGACCTTCGAATTCGACCTAATGGAATGTGAACTCTTTTGAATTCTTTATAACGAAATACGAACTCTTTCAAGAATTCAAAATAAACGAAATATGAAATCCTTCAAGAATTCGAAATGACTATATGATGAGTGTCTCATTTGATCATCGAAACACTCCAAATAAAACATGGTATGAAGTGTTTTATTTTATTGTTTATATAATTATGCAAGGAAACATGTATCTTACTGGGTGTTGTTAAATAATTGCTCTTACAATAATTTATAGGTTAATTCGAGTTGATCAGATCCGTGGCAAAATGGTGATGCGGGCTGCCTAGAGGATTTGAAGAAATAAAGCATTAAATTTTCTATCTTTCAATTGATTATTTAGATTTAAATTGTGTTCAAAGATATTTTTATTTCATAAGTAGGATATTATGTTTTTCATTTTAAAGAAATATAAACTCCATGTTTTGATTGATATTTATTATTGCAAATAAAGAACCAATTTTTTTATCGTTTCCACATTAATGTAAAGAAAATAGAATTTTAAATAAAACTCCAAGGTTTATGAAAATTGGGGTGTTACGGTCCTTAACTACACATGTATATTATTCGACATCGTGAATTTTTTGGAATCCCTTGTATAGCCTTCTTTTAATTGACTATGCTATATAGCCCCTGTCTGGGAGGGCCTTTCATCTCTCCAAAATTGATTATTGTGCCGTTGCTTTTTGACCGTTTCTCACAGAAAAGGCAGCCACAATTGCTGAATTGTTACCGTTGCTGGTTTCAACGGACAGAAAAGCAATTTTCAGCTAAAATTTAATCGCGGCCAGACAAGTACATATTCCATGATGATTTACTGTCTTAAACATACCAAAACCTAAAAAAGAGAAACATAAATAGACAACTTACACGTGGGGCGCTAACAAATAGGGCCATGGTGGGGAGTTGGCTGGGGCAGAGCCAAGGTTTGATGCAGGGTAAATTATTTCCTTACCCCATTTTGCCCTTACCCATATGTGCCCTGCTGTAATCCTGAGATAGAACTCACTCAAAACTCAACATGATGTTGGATTAGAAAGTATGCTTTGGATGAGAGGAGTTGGGAGTAAATAGGTCAATATTACATTGTGAGACACGTCGTGAGATATCAACGATCATGCCTCTGCTCGCCGTTAGTACTATATTCCACAATCAATTAGTTATGCAATATTCTAAATTACACTACAAAAAATCTAAAGCCATCTTTAGAAAAGCATATTTTCTTCCACCATCAGAGGCCTCCACCCAACATGGCTATTATCTTTCTTCAGAACTAGCATGTTACTATCATTGTTCGTACTCTATCACTGTAACATCCGGAATTTTAATTACTATTTTCCTATGTGCCTAAATTTAATATTGGTCATTTAACAAATGAAATAGTTCCTGTCTAGTCTTGTCATCATACTAAAGTCCAAAAGTTAAAAGTGATAAGTTTAACCCACCTATTGGCTATGTGCATAAATGATTTATTTTCTTATGCATATTTTTATGAATTTATCGTAATTTTTATTTGGGGTCATATATTTAAATATTATAAAAGTTAATAAAATATATATATCCATATTATACTCATTTTGTAGCTCGTCTTAAATAACATAAATTGAGTTCAAAAAGAAATAATTTTGATATTATAATTTAATAAATTAAACATAATTAATTCATTAATTTTGATAATAATTAATCTCATAAATTCTTAATTTACCTCAAATGCGTTTGCATTTAAATTATTAAACCTAAAATGTCGTTTAGTTTGAGTTGGAGTTACGTGTATATGTGTTAAAATTATATATATGTATATGGTCATGTTAGAGGTTAGTTTTTTTTTCTTTTTCTTTTTTTTTTTAAGAACAGACAAACTTCACTTCCTACAAATTTACACACGCACACGGTTGGATATAATTTCCTTAAATATTATTCTACAATCATATTTTCAAATTTATTTAATATCAACTTGAGGTAAGAATACATAGTGCAAAGTGGTAAATTCTTATTTTCAAGATGTTTATATAATTTTGGAATGAAATACTCTAAGACCTACGAGTCAATTTTTATTTAAATCCTCTGGGATTGACCATTAGGTCAAATATTTAAATCCTACAGGATATATGAATTCTAAAGAAATTCCTTGAGCTATCCGATATAGCGACCAAT